TGATAATACCAACATGGGCCAGTGAAGCGACATTCTCCACAACTAGACTGAAGAACAAAAGAACAGAAACTTGTCTGTTCCCCTTCCCCCATTCCCCAATAAAATAAAATTTAAAAATCCCAAATAAACAACCTAATATTACATATTAAAGAACTAGAAAAAGAAGAACAAATGAAGCCCAAGGTCAGCAGAAGAAGGGAAATAATAAAAATCAGAGCAGAATTAAATGAAATAAAGAACAGAAAGACGGGGGTGGCTGGGTGGCTCAGTTGGTTAGAGCACATGCTCTGAACAACAAGGCTGCCAGTTCGATTCCCACATGGGCCAGTGAGCTGCGCCCTCTGCAACTATATTGAAGACAATGACTTGAGCCGAGCTGCCGCTGAGCTGCCGGTGGGTGGCCAGATGGCTCAGTTGGTTAGAGCACGTGCTCTTAACAACAAGGTTGCCGGTTGGATTCCCACATGAGATGGTGGGCTGTGCCGCCCGCAACTAGAACGGCGACTGAACTTGGAGCTGAGCTGCACTCTCCACAACTAGATTGAAGGACAACGACTTGACTGGGGTCCTGGAAAAAAACACACTGTTACCCAATAAAAAATAAATAAAAAAAAGACAATAGGAAAAAATTAATGCAACAAAGAGCTGGTTCTTTGAAAAGATTAATAAAATAGACAAACCTCTTACTAGATGCACTAAGGAAAAAAGAGAAAAACACAAATAAAATCAGAAATGAAAGGGAAGTCACAACAGGTACCACAGGAAAACAAAGGATCATTCAAGAATACTATGAAAGAATATATGTCACCAAATTCAATAACTTAGAAGAAATGGAAAAGTTCTTAGAAATATATAACCTTCCTGTATTAAAAATTATGCTGACGGTAACCACTTTGAGCACCTCTTGTAATTGCAGAAGTCAAATGTGACTTGTATTCATCTCTTGTTATTGGTATATATTGAGTATTACAATTTTCATACAGTTTTTTCCTTTCTTAAAATGTGTATGCATTTTTTGGCACCCTTTGTATATGGGCAAATAATTTTTGACAAAGGAGCCAAAAACATACAATGGAGAAAAGAAAGCCTCTTCAATAAATGGTGCTAAGAAAATAGGAAAAAAGGATAAAACTAGACTGCTATCTGTCAACTAAACTTAAGGACTTTGGGTCAGAGAAGGTTTTATGGATTTGATCTCAAAGGTAAGGGAGGTAAAAGTAAAAATAAATGAATGGGACTATATCAAATTTAAAAGCTTCTGCACAACAACAAAAAAACCATCAACAAAACAAGGAGGCAACCAGCTGTATGGGAGAAGATATTTGCAAACACCTTCGATAAGGGGTTAATATCCAAAATATATAAAGAACTCATACAACTCAACAACAAAAAAACAATCCAATTAAAAATGGGCAGAGGAACTGAACAGACACTTCTCCCAAGAAGACATACAAACAGCCAAAAGATACATGAAAAGATGCTCAACTTCAGTAGCTATCAGGGAAATGCAAATCACAACTATAATGAGATACCACCTGACACCTGTCAGAATGGCTATTATCAACAAGACAAGTAATGACAAGTGTTGAAGAGGTTGTGGAGAAAAAGGAACCTTCATACACTGCTGGTGGGAATGTAAATTGGTACAGCCACTATGGAAAACAGTATGGAGGATCCTCCAAAAATTAAGAATAGGATTACCATATGATCCAGCAATCCCTCTTCTGGTTATCTACCCCAAAAATCTGAAAACATTTAAGATAAATGTACCCTTATGTTCACTGCAGCATTATACATGGTGGCCAAGGCATGGAAACAAGCGAAGTGTCCTTTGATAGGTGATTGGATAAATGTCGCCTTACAGCCGATTCTTAGACCACCCCCCCTGCATTAGCCTCTGACCCATTAGTCGAGAGAGTGCCTCGGAAAACTGAGGCCGGATGGAATGATATCTGTAAAGCTCTCTCGGGGGGCGTCTCANTTCAGCCACTGCCTATGACTGGCTTGGTTCTACCTGGCAGAAGCTGCAAAGTGATCCACAGTTGGTTGCTGCCTATGCTGGACCTGGAGACGTGTTGGAGAGACCACACTGTGAACCGAGGACAGCTGCTACCAGTACCATGCTGTTGCCAGCTGGCCGCCCATAAGGCTCAGCAAGTGATAGAGTCTCATGCAGTACACAAGTTGGGTGATATGGGGTTTCAGGGAGTCACCAGGGTGGGGCAAGTGGTGTTCACCAGGTTAACATACATTCTGCTTTTCTGCTTTGGTGCTAGTGCTAAGCCTGGAGCTACTCGGCAAAAGGCTCAGAGCACATCGAAGTCAGCCATCACCTGCCTGGGGCCCACCAATTCCCAACAGCTGTCCAAGAAAGACTGCAGTGTGGGCCAGGGCTGGCTGCTGGTCACCTCAAATATTCAAATTATTGAAAGAGAAAAATCACCAACCAAGAATAATATATCAAGAAAAGTAATCTTTTAGATATGAAGGTGAAATAACGGCTTTTCCAAAGATACAGAAGCTGAGGAAATTTACCACCACAAGACCTGCACTACAAGAAAACTGAAGGGTGCTCTTCCATCTGAAACAAAAAGACAAAAGGATAAAAAACTATGGGTAATATGACTAACAGACAGACAGAAGCAGGTAATTGTGACCCTTGTTCAGAATAAAGGTATTACACACTTAAATATAACATAAAGATTCAAGGAGGCAATATTTTTTTTAAAGAAGAAGACAATAGCTACTGCAACTTGGAAGTGAACTCCCAGCAAACAAAATTTGTGGCAACGAAAACATAAATGGGGTGGGGGAAAAGGACTGAACTTGCACAGGTGAATGGAGATAAGATGCAATCAGAAGAAAAAGGAATGCTATATATATGAAACTTTCTTTTGCATAAACCTAATGGTAATCACACACACAAAAATCTAGAACTAAGTCGTATAACATAAAAAGAGGAAACAGAGAAAAAAAATCATAGAATACCACCAAACTAAAATAACAGACAGAAACACAAGAAAAAATAAAAAATGGAGACACAGAGCTACCAGAAAACAAAAGATAAAATGGCTATAGAAATCCTCATATATGAATAAACACTCTAAATGTAAATGGACTGAATTCACAAATAAAAAAGGTCAGAGTAGCAGATTGAATAAAAAAACAAAACTTAACCATATGCTGCCTTCAAGGGACACATCTCATTCGCAAGGACAAATATATACTCAAAGTGAAAGGCTGGAAAACAATACTCCAAACAAATGGCATCCAGAGAAAAGCAGGTGTAGTCATACTTATATCTGATGAAGGAGACTTCAAGATAAAAAAGGTAACAAGAGACAAAGATGGACATTTCATAATGATAAAAGGAACAATAAATCAAGACGACATAACACTTATTAATATATATGCTCCCAAAGAGGGAGCACCAAAATACGTATATAAAGCAACTACTAATAGAACTAAAGGGAAAAACTGAGAAAAACACAATTATCGTAGGAGACCTAAATACCCCATTGATAGCTATGGATAGATCATCCAAACATAAAATCAATAAGGAAATATCAGCCTTAAAAAACACATTAGATCAAATGGACATGATCAACATTTACAGAGCCTTTCATCCCAGAATACATGAAATTTTTCTCTAGTGCACATGGAACATTCTCATGGACAGATCATACATTGAGCCACAAAACTAGCCTCAACAAATTTAAGAAGACTGAAATCATACCAAGCATATTCTTTGACCACAATGCTTTGAAACTGGAGATCAACTGCAAAAAGAAGCAGGAAAAACCATAACTATGTGGAGATTAAACAACATACTACTAAAGAACTGGGTCAAAGAAGAAATAAAAAGGAGAGCTCTTTCCAGTCGGCGCTGAGCCATGGGCATCTCTCGGGACAACTGGCACAAGCGCCGCAAGACCGGGGGCAAGAGAAAGCCCTACCACAAGAAGCGAAAATATGAGCTGGGACGCCCTGCTGCCAACACTAAGATTGGCCCACGCCGCATACACACAGTCCGTGTGCGTGGAGGCAACAAGAAGTACCGTGCATTGAGGCTGGATGTGGGGAACTTCTCCTGGGGTTCCGAGTGTTGTACGTGCAAAACAAGGATTATTGATGTGGTCTACAATGCATCCAACAACGAACTGGTCCACACCAAGACCCTAGTAAAGAACTGCATCGTGCTCATTGACAGCACACCATACCGACAGTGGTACAAGTCCCACTATGCACTGCCCCTAGGCCGCAAAAAGGGGGCCAAGCTGACTCCTGAGGAAGAAGAGATTTTAAACAAAAAGCGATCAAAGAAAATTCAGAAGAAATACGATGAAAGGAAAAAGAATGCCAAAATCAGCAGTCTTCTGGAGGAGCAGTTCCAACAGGGCAAGCTTCTTGCTTGCATCGCTTCAAGACCAGGCCAGTGTGGCCGAGCAGATGGCTATGTGCTAGAGGGCAAGGAGCTGGAGTTCTATCTGAGGAAAATCAAGGCCGGTAAAGGCAAATAAATCATCCTCCCTCCTAGCTTAGTCCATGTAATAAAGGTGTTTTGTGTTCTGCGTCCAGGTTGTTTGAATACTCGATTGGCAAACTGGAGAGTGCCCCCACGTCCCTCTCCCTGAAGGCCAGGCCTATTATGTAGTCTGTGCCTTTCTATAATAAAGGGGACATTTCTCACCCTAAAAGTTGATGATCAGTGGGGGCAGGGATGTGGCATTCAGGCCAAACAGAGACCATAATAAGGGAGGTATCCCATCACTGGGACCCCCAACAATACTGGGGTGTTGACTGGACCGTGATTGGAACCTGAAGCAATGTTTCCTCTAACGTTGATTCGTTTAGACATCCTATACCTCTTGGACCTGGTTTTAACTTAGTTTACAACCTGGGTTCACAAGTGGTCTTGAAATCTTGAAATTGTGTTACAGATTTCTGCACTGTTGAAAGCAAGTTACATATACTTAAATATATGTATTCTGTCAGACTTTGGATGTCTTTTATAATTTTCTCGAGTCCTAATTCCTTCCACCCTTCACTATTAAAAAGTATGTTAGATTGCCAAAAAAAAAAAAAAGAATAAAAAGGAGAGATCAAAACATACATAGAGGGCCAGCCGAGTGGCGCATTGGTTAAGAACTAGCTTGGGATGCCAGAGGGTCCTGGTTCAGATCCCACATATGAGGGCCAGTGACACTGCCCTCTACAGCTAAGATGCTTAACAACAGCTCAACCTGGAGCTGGGCTGCCCTGAGTCGCTGGCGA